ACTTGTGTTTTTCTAACGAATCAGAAAGCACAAGTTTATTGCGCGTACGAATAAATTCACGAGTGCGCGGAACACATGTGTATGGTCTTGCACAAACATTAGACAAATATATACGCATGAGGCAATATGGTTCTTTGGTTTAAACACAATATTACCAATAGGCTTATTATGTCCAATGTAATTACTTGGGACAAGATCCTCAACATTTTATGTTAAAATAAGTATACTTTTCATCATCCAAAAACAACATAGTAAAAATGATAGCATTCCTTTGGTTTTAAAGTTTAGTACTCTTGGTTTTCAAAAGTTCAGAGAGGTTAACATGTTGTTTTTGTTGCAGATTTGGGAAAAACTAGTACCAATACAACCTTCACTCATTCTGTTGCTCCAGCCTCTAAACAAAGTGTTGTAGCAGCATCCTGCAATCCTACCACTACAACTTCAAACATCGTTATCCCTGTGTCTGTGAGTGGCACCAGCTCAGGGACATCCAGTGTGAGTGTTTAAATAAGGATTGATTTAACAAGCCATCTCTTAGATACCTATACCTGTGTGTGCCTTAATGTTTGATCTTGTGTACATCATATAACTGAGTTTGGTTACATTTCTGTCATCTGTAAATATGATTTAATTTTAAAACATTCTTGGTATCTGTTCCCCCCACTTAAAAATATGAACGTTAGTGAAACCAAAGCCAAATGTCACCTGGCTTGAGTTCCTAATTTAAGCGGACATGTTCATATGAAATGAATTGAATTTAGCTCACCTGGCACTTACAAAGTTTTGAAATGAGTATTAAGCTTTCACTGGATATTTTTATTTTGTCATGGACATATTTTTGTGCTGTCTGGCTGGCAAGACACTAGAAATAACACACATTCTGTCTTTCCATTTGTGAAATTTGGACAAAAGTTTGTGGAAAGAAATACTGGTCAATATCCTAAATGCTAGATGTAACAGGCTTGATTTGCAAAGTTTCAATAATAATTATGTTTCTTGACAGTTGACAGTGCAGCGACAACAGCTAATGCAAATACAGCAGCAGATGTTTGAACAACAAGTACAGCAGCAGCAACAACAACATCTGCTACAGCAACAACTGCTGCAGCACACCATTATGCAACAGATTGGACAGGCAACTGATGGAATGCCACAGGTAGGTCAGGTATAGTTCTAGGCTGACAATGCCACAGGTAGGTCATGTATAGTTCTAGACTGACAATGCCACAGGTAGGTCAAATATAGTTCTAGGCTGACAATGACACAGGTAGGTCATATATATATATAGTTCTAGGCTGACAATGACACAGGTAGTTCATATATAGTTAAATATAATAAATAATAATATTATATACTACTCACATTTTGCTAAGGATCACTTTT